TATGCACCAAACGGCAGTTCAGATTATCCACCCTTTCTGGAGTCCTTAGAGGGGGTACTGGAAAGTGCACCTTCTGGGGACTCCCTTGTTCTGCTGAGGGACTTCAATGCTCATGTGGGCAATGACAGTGAGACCTGGAGGGGTGTGGTTGGGAGGAACGGCCCCCCTGATCTGAACCAGAATGGTGTTCTGTTGTTGGACTTCTGTGCTCGTCATGGATTGTCAATAACGAACACCTTGTTCAAGCATAAGAGTGTCCATATGTGCTCTTGGCACCAGGACACCCTAGGCCGCAGTTCGATGATTGACTTTGTCATCGTCTCATCTGATCTGCGGCCACATGTCTTGGACACTCGGGTGAAGAGAGGGGCGGAGCTGTCAACTGATCACTACCTGGTGGTGAGTTGGCTCCGATGGTGGGGGAGGATGCCGGTCAGACCTGGTAGGCCCAAACGTATTGTGAGGGTTTGCTGGGAACGTCTGGCAGAGCCTCCTGTGAGACGGAGTTTCAACTCCCACCTCCGAGAGAACTTTGAACATGTTCCAAGGGAGGTGGGGGACATTGAGTTTGAGTGGACCATGTTTCGTGCCTCTATTGTCGAGGCGGCTTACCGGAGCTGCGGCCGCAAGGTTGTCGGTGCCTGTCGCGGCGGCAACCCTCGAACCCGATGGTGGACACCGTCGGTGAGGGATGCTGTCAGGCTGAAGAAGGAGTCCTATCGGGCCTTTTTGGCCTGTGGGACCCCGGAAGCAGCTGATGGGTACCGGCAGTCCAAGCGACATGCGGCTCGGGTGGTTGCTGAGGCAAAAACTCTGGCATGGGAGGAGTTCGCAGAGGCCATGGAGAACGACTTCCGCACGGCTTCGAGACGTTTCTGGTCCACCATCCGGCGTCTCGGGGGGGGGGGGGGGGAAGCGGTATGCCACCAACACTGTTTATAGTGGGAGTGGTGTACTGCTGACCTCAACTCGGGATGTTGTGGGTCGGTGGGCGGAATACTTTGAAGACCTCCTCAATCCCACCGGCACGTCTTCCACTGAGGAAGCGGAGCCTGGGGACTCTGGGTCGGGCCCTCCAATCTCTGGTGCTGAGGTCACCGAGGTGGTTAAAAAGCTCCTCGGTGGCAGGGCCCCAGGGGTGGATGAGATCCGCCCAGAGTTCCTTAAGGCTCTGGATGTTGTAGGGTTGTGTTGGCTTACGCGACTCTGCAATGTTGCGTGGACATCGGGGGAAGTTCCCCTGGATTGGCAGACCGGGGTGGTGGTCCCCCTATTCAAAAAGGGGGACCGTAGAGTGTGTTCCAACTACAGGGGAATCACGCTCTTAAGCCTCCCTGGTAAGGTCTATTCGGGGGTTCTGGAGAGGAGGGTCCGTCGGATAGTCGAACCTCGGATTCAGGAAGAACAGTGCGGTTTTCGTCCTGGCCGTGGAACACTGGACCAGCTCTACACTCTCAGCAGGGTCCTGGAGGGTGCGTGGGAGTTTGCCCAACCAGTCTACATGTGCTTTGTGGACTTGGAGAAGGCGTTCGACCGCGTCCCTCGGGGGGCTCTGTGGGGGGTACTCTGGGAGTATGGGGTACCAGGCCCTTTGATACGGGCTGTTAGGTCTCTGTATGACCGGTGTCAGAGCCTGGTCCGCATCGCCGGCAGTAAGTCGGGATTGTTCCCGGTGAGAGTTGGACTCCGCCAAGGTTGCCCTTTGTCACCGATTCTGTTCATAACTTTTATGGACAGAATTTCTAGGCGCAGCCAAGGTGTTGAGGGGATCCGTTTTGGTGGCCTCAGAATTGCGTCTCTGCTTTTTGCAGATGATGTGGTCTTATTGGCTTCATCAGATCGTGATCTACAGCTTTCGCTGGAGCGGTTCGCAGCCGAATGCGATGCGGCCGGGATGAAGATCAGTTCCTCCAAATCCGAGGCCATGGTCTTGAGCCGGAAAAGGGTAGAGTGCCCTCTCTGGGTCAGGGAGGAGGTCCTATCCCAAGTGGAGGAGTTCAAGTATCTTGGGGTCTTGTTCACGAATGAGGGAAAAATGGAGCGTGAGATCGATAGGCGGATAGGTGCAGCGTCTGCAGTGAAGCGGGCGCTGTACAGGTCTGTCGTGGTGAAGAGAGAGCTGAGTCAAAAGGCGAAGCTCTCAATTTACCGATCGATCTACGTTCCCACCCTCATCTATGGTCACGAGCTTTGGGTTGTGACCGAAAGAATGAGATCTCGGATACAAGCGGCCGAAATGAGTTTTCTCCGTAGGGTGTCTGGGCTCTCCCTTAGAGACAGGGTGAGAAGCTCGATCATCCGGGAGGGACTCGGAGTAGAGCCGCTGCTTCTCCACATCGAGAGGAGCCAGTTGAGGTGGCTTGGGCATCTGTTTAGGATGCCTTCTGGACGCCTCCCTGGTGAGGTGTTCCGGACACGTCCCACCGGAAGGAGGCCCAGGGGAAGACCCAGGACACGCTGGAGGGACTACGTTTCTCGGCTGGCCTGGGAACGCCTCGAGATTCCCCCGGAAGAGCTGGCCCAAGTGGCTGGGGAGAGGGAAGTCTGGGCCTCCCTACTTAGGCTGCTACCCCCGCGACCCGACCCCGGATAAGCGGAAGAAAATGGATGGATGGATGGACTCTAGAGGGTAGCTACCCTCAACCTTCGGGTGGGGGGATGGGCTCTGACTGTTGTTTGTTCTTACACGCTAAATGGTAGTTCAGGGCACCAAGTCTTCTTGAAATGTTTAGCGAGGGTGCTGGAAGGTACTCCAGCTGGGGAATCCTTTTTTCTGCTGGAGGGTTAGGATGGTGGGTGGGATCATCAATGCAAAGTGGGCGGTATCTTAACAGGTCATTGTGTTCGAGCCGCTCTGCCCGTTGTGGTCCTTAATCACCCTATAATCTAACTTCAATTTCTTTAGCTTATCCTGACACTGTTTATAAAATTAGGTGTATCCGTGCTGCACCGTCAGCTCCAGTATCTCTCTGTAAATGTGCTCATTTCTTGTGATGTCATCCAGCTCACACTGAATCCTAACTTGTTTTAATTTCTTCTTTCGGCATCTCCCTTTTTGAGGAGTCGCCAACTTGGCAATTGTTTTTACATCAGACGTCCTTCCTGAAACAACCACAGACCACCGAGCTACCACAGCGCTCTGTGTGGAGCTGCTGTCTAGGGTGCCCGGGGGAGCAGATGGTGGGGGTTAAGGGCCTTGCTCAAAGGCCCAAAGCGGGGGAAATGAGGGTTGAAGCAGGTGTGGGTGCCTCACCTTTCCCACCCATATTTTTATGTTGTTGGTCCGGGGAGTCGAACTGGTGACCTTCCGATCATAGGCCTTCTCTGACCTCTATGCCACCACTCCCCCTATTCACGCTGAATCCTAACATCAACTGAAAGAGTTAGGAATGTCTGTACGTCTTCATTGGTCCACAGCACTATCTTTGGAGCTTCCATAGCAGAAACTAGCAAAAACAGCACACACTCAACACAATCAGAGAAGAAATAGCTGGATGGATGTAGTCTTCAGTTTTGCTGGGCGAGTCATGCAGTGACGCCGCTGGCCGATCAACGGCTGCTGTCTGCATAGATCAAAATCAGCTCCTTGGAGCAGCAAGCTTTGAACCATGAACTGGGCTGAATTGGGGTAGGTACCGGCAGTGGGCAGGCCCTTAACTGGCATGGTGCATTGCAGAACCAATGAGACAGTTGAGACAGTGGCAAAGTGCCAAAATGTTCTGCAACAAACCTCTGAGGCTCACAGAACAGCTGGATTTATACCGAGATTAAACTACATACTCTGGTGACAGATTAGGTGACTTTTGAAGGCTTTTGGTTGCTCTGGATTTAGTTTGGGGTCTCAGAGTAAAGAGGTGTGAATACAAATGGCACTCTTTTGAGACTTATTCTGTTTTGTGAAAAATGTTAAACCATGAATTATTTTCCTTCTACTTCACAATTATTGATCAAATATGACCCAACAATGATTCATTTCAGTAAAATACTTTAATCAAGTAATGTCATATGACTGCGACTGCTGTCAGCTCAGATGAACACCATGGCTGGCCACACATGGCTGGTCTCTCTGGTGCCCATTGATAAATCTGACACTCAATGGTCTACATATGGACCACATTACAGCCAATCAGATGTGGCATAATTACAGTGGGCAGATGTACAGCGCCTCTTCCTCTGGCTTTGTAAGCACCAGAGGGAGCTGCACTCCTAATTTCATTACTTGCTAAACGTTCAAGGACAATATACATATATCTGTCCGTCTGTGTGTCCTTCTGGATGATGAACTTTAATCATTAGTGAGTGTATTTAATAGGATCATTGATCAGCTTCAGATAAGTCCATCAGCCCACCTTCTCCCTGTAGTCGTGCTCACTGGACTGCAGCAGCTGGGGAACCAGACGACACCAACCTTTCTCCAACAGCATGCCCTGCAAGGACATCTCTGAGTACTGACGCACTCGCTCCTTGTGGGACGGGTCCTGACCCGGGTCTGGGCCTGCCTGAGAGATCAGCTCCTGATGGAACAGAGAACATGGTTCAGGTCCTGGACCAGAACTCAGAGTTGCACAGCTATCTTTTTATTTATTTACATAAAAATAGTCTTTGAAGTTTGAACCCACCTTTTCCCCTTCCCAGCTTCAGTTGCATGAACATTTTCTAAATTATTTTGTTTTCTGATTTAAATTTTTTTTGCGTGTAAATATATTTAAGTCTATCTATCTTGCAAGAACAAACCTATATTTGTCGTTATAATTATATACCAAAATAGGGAACAAACTCAGGAATGTTGTTTTTTTTTACATAAAGACAGACATAAATGTGTTTAGGTGGTGGTTGTAGCATTGCACTTACGTGTGAAAGCACTTTGTTCAACTCCCTAGAATGACTGAGTTGTTTTTTTGTATTATTTTTTTAAGCAAACAGTGGTGACACACCATGATTTACCAAAATATGATACAGGTAAATAAAATAAACTTTTACTTTTAAGCTATATTTAGTTCAACCCAAAAATAATTATCTACAGTGAGCTCCAGGTTGATATCAGTAAGAACAGCCCTTTGGAAAATGATGGTGCTGCATCTGCATGGAGAGCAGGCACCTTTGTCTTTGTTACATACAGGTGCTGGTCATAAAATTAGAATAGCATGAAAAAGTTGATTTATTTCAGTAATTCCATTCAAAAAGTGAAACTTTTATATTATATTCATTCATTACACACAGACTGATATATTTCAAATGTTAATTTATTTTAATGTTGATGATTATGTTGATCATGTTGATGATTATGTTGATGATCATGTTGATGATTATGTTGATCACGCGTGCTCATCTGCTCACACAGACTCATGTTTGTGCTGCCGTTGGACGTAATGTTTTTATTCTATTAGTGCTTAGTGTATTATTTAGTTGATGTTTTTCTTAGTTCATATCTTAGATCTTATTACTATTACTTCCGGTGAGCGAACGCTGGCGCATCTTGGTTGCCGCTGCTCGTCGTGCTTTTTTCTGTTTTATTCAGTCCTTCCTGCCTTTTCCCTACTCCAAGTCTCTGATCCGTCTCAATATCAACCATGCGGTTCATTAGGATTTACCTGCTGCCTGCTCTGGTTTGGACTCTCCTGCTGCTCATCCACCACCACCCGGCGTCTGGTCTTCTCCATTACTCAGCGGTCGAGCTCCTTCGCCTTCGTTTCCTACCAGCCGTGCCACCTGTGCTCCCTCTTCAGGACATTGCCTTCCATCCTCGCCGGAGATACATTCACCGTGGCTCCCGCCGTAGACTCCACGCTGACAAGTCTAACCCCATAAACTCCATCTGGTCTGACTCTCACCATTCTATACGCCGCAATACTCGGGCCGCTAACAGTAGTAGCATGTTAGCCAGCCTAGCTCGGTCGGCTAATGCTCCGGTCGCTACCAACTCCTCCTCCGTAAAGTTAGGCCTTCTGAACGTTCGCTCACTCACTGGAAAAGGTCAGCTTATTCAAGACCTAATGTCCGACCGTAAGCTGGATTTTATTTGTCTAACAGAAACGTGGCAACAACAAAATTACTTTTTCCACCTGAATGAATCTACCCCACCGGGGTTTGTTTACATGGCCAAATCCCGCGAGTCCGGCCGCGGAGGAGGTCTCGCGATAATTCACCGCGAGAACTGGAAGGTCACGCTGGTTCACACACCTCCCTCTCCCTCCTTTGAGCACACTGTGTGTCTACTCTCCGGCCCTACCCCCACCATTGTTGCCACTTTCTACCGTCCGCCCAAAATCAACAACTCTTTTATAAATGACTTTGCTGCTCTAATCGCCCATCTCTCAGCTCTTTCACCCAACATTATTCTGCTTGGAGACTTCAACATTCATATGGATGAAGACAACAACCCCCTCACCAGAGACTTCACATCCTGCCTCGACAGCTGTGGCTTCCAGCAGCTCATTAACTTTCCAACCCACATTAAGGGCCACACTTTGGATTTATTATGCTGCTCTGGACTCTCTCCTCTTAACTTTTCTTTTGATGAACTTCCATTTACTGATCACCTCATGATTTCATTCAGTGTCAATCTTAAATTTTCTTCAGAGAAACCTCAACGCACTCTTTCCTTCCGTAATATTAAGAATATCAACCATGACATTCTTTTGTCTCATATTAATAATACCATCTTCACCTTCAATTCTTTTAACCCAGATGACCTTGTCACATTCTACAATAACAGCCTCACCAACATTCTTAACTCTGTCGCTCCTCTGAAAACCCAGTCTGTCTCCTTCTCCAACTCTGCACCCTGGTTCACTCCAGAACTCCGTTCTCTGAAATCCAAAGGTCGGAGGTTGGAGCGACTCTATAAGAAATCCGGTCTCTCAATTCACAAGGAACTCTATGTGAACCACGTCATCCAGTATAAGGACAGTATTTCTCAAGCCAAATCCAGCTACTTCTCTGACATCATCAATTCCAATGTTGGCAATTCAAAGACTTTGTTCTCTCTCCTTAACCGTTCAGTCTCATCTCCTAACTCATTACCCTCTCACAAGGTTTCCACAGAATTTTGCAACTCTCTGATGTCTTATTTCAATGAAAAGATTCTTTCAATTCATAAACACCTTGGACCAAATACCGCCCCCAGCATCTATGTTGAACTCCCCCCTCCCTCCCTCCCTCCCCTTCTCTGTCTTCTCCCTCCCCTCTGCTGATGACATTGCTGACATTATCAGCAAGTCTAAGTCCTCATCCTGTCAGCTCGATCCATTTCCCACAGTTCTTGTTAAATCCCGTCTCCCATCTCTGCTCCCCATCATCACTAACATCATCCACTCCTCCTTAACCTCTGGCATTGTTCCCACAGCTTTCAAATCTGCGGCCATCACCCCCATCATCAAGAAACCAGGTCTTGACTTTACCAACTTAAGTAATCTTCGTCCAATCTCTAATCTGCCCTTTATTTCCAAAGTTCTTGAAAAAGCTGTTGCTAGTCAACTTCGCTCTCACCTATCCAACAATAACATTTATGAAGTTTCAATCTGGTTTTCGCCCCCACCATAGCACCGAAACAGCTCTAATAAAAATAACTAATGACCTTCTTCTTGCTGCTGACTCTGCTCTTCTGTCTATCCTCATTTTACTGGATCTAAGTTCTGCCTTCGACACAATCTGTCATTCTATCCTCCTCAACAGACTAACCTCCATTGGCATCTCGGGTACTCCGTTAGACTGGTTCAAATCATATCTCTCTGACCGCACTCAATTCATTCAGCTCAAATCCTTTCGTTCCCAGTCTTCCCCCGTCTCCACGGGTGTCCCCCAAGGCTCTGTCCTCGGACCCCTCCTCTTCATCATTTACCTCCTTCCTCTAGGTCACATCTTCCGTAAATTTGGTGTCCATTTTCACTGTTATGCTGATGACACATAGCTCTACCTATCAACAAAACCAAACTCCACCCACCCACCCTCCATCCTCACCGACTGTCTCAATGAGCTAAATCACTGGTTTTCCAACAACTTTCTACAACTAAACAGTAACAAAACAGAAATCATTCTTATCGGTACCAAAAACTCTCTTTCAAAATCAGAAAATCTTCTCAACCCCCTTAACAACTCCCTGCTATCCCCCTCGCCTCAGGTCAAGAGTCTTGGTGTCATCCTCGACACCACTCTCTCCTTCACTTCACACATCAACAACGTCACTCGGTCTGCCTATTTCCATCTCCGAAATATTAACCGTCTCCGCCCTTCTCTCACACCCCGCTCCACAGCTATCCTTGTTCACAGTCTTGTGACTTCTCGGATTGACTACTGCAACTCCCTTCTTTATGGCCTCCCCAACAAATCTCTCCAGAAGCTACAATTGGTCCAGAACTCAGCTGCCCGTGTCATCACTCAAACCTCCTATAACCACATCACTCCAGTCCTGCAGCAGCTCCACTGGCTCCCGGTTAAATCACGCATCATCTTCAAAATTCTTCTTCTCACTTTTAAAGCTATCCACAACCTTTCCCCTCCGTACCTATCTGACCTCCTACACATCTCCATCCCCTCTCGCTCTCTCAGATCCTCCTCTTCACTACACCTCCATGTACCCTCTGCCCGCCTCTCCACCATGGGGAGAAGGGCCTTCACCTGCTCTGCTCCTCATCTCTGGAAGTATCTACCCCCTGACTTAAGAAACACCACCTCTCTTTCTATATTCAAGACTGCTCTGAAAACACATCTCTTTAGACTCGCTTTTCCTTAACTCTGCTGTATGTATTTTATATTCTTTACGCATTTTATATTCTGTATGTATTGTATATTCTTTACGCATTTTATATTCTGTATGTATTTTATATTCTTTATGTATTTTATATTCTTTATTCCTGTTGATCTTTGTTCTTACTGTAAAGTGTCCTTGGGTGTCATGAAAGGCGCTTTTTAAATAAAATGATTATTATTATATTATTATTATTTCAACTGATACAGACGGTGTCAGAACCTGTACAAGATGTTTTGTTCTGATCAAAAGAGTGTTCCAAGCCAAACACTTATGTGTCACTCTTACCAAATAAAAAAACAGTTCTAACAGCAAGGCTTTGGAGTTCACCTCTGGTTCCAGACCAGAGGTGGATTTCCCCCTTGCAAGGAACGTTGGCCAATAAACCTTACTTTGTCCTGTTTGGTTCTTTTTCTGTTGGGTACGAGAGAAAATACCTAATAGTTTTTCTTTTACATTTTATTGTTGGATATAGCTGGGACCGTGAGTGCATAATCTTGTTCCACCACATGTACCACATGTGATGCGAACGACAAATCTCTGACTTTGATTATAACAAACATGTAATGAAAACCCTAAATTCAATATCTCAGAAAATTTGAAAAGTGTGAAAAGGTTCAATATAGAAGACACCTGGTGCCACACTCTAATCAGCTAATTAACTCAAAACACTTGCAACGGCCTTTAAATTGTCTCTCAGTCTAGTTCTGTAGAATACACAATCATAGAGAAGACTGATGACTTGACAGTTGTCCAAAAGACGACCAT